TAATCAAACAAACTCTAACAACAAGAAAACGAGAGACAGGAAGAGAGAGAGAGAGAGAGAGAGAGAGACTAAAAAGAGAAAATCCTCTTCTCATACTTATTCACATACTCAAACAATCCGATTAATTTCTTTTTACAGCTACATGATTATTATCCTCATGGATTCATATCAATCTCTCCACCTCTCTCCCACTTTCGTTCGATATATACATATATATGTCCATTGCCTTCAGACAATCAGAGGTTCGAGTTGCACTTTCGAGTACTATGTCTATCTTCTCTCACTTATTTACTCGACTCAGATGTCCGTTGAAGCTTCATCTTATAAGTTGGATATGTGTATTTTATTATGTAATAGATATATGTAGTAAACACACGCGAATCAATCATTTGACGAGGATGATTTCTTAATAGATTTCCTTCTCTCTTCTCCTCTCTTACTGCCTTCGTTTGGTAACTATGTATCAATATGTTCAATTTTTCTTCCGTTCTAGTTCGAATCATTGCCCGTTGGACACAAAAAAAGGACTGATGACTTCATTCGGGTGACTGACATTGATAAAATAGAATGATAAAACCTTCAACAAATCGCGCGGAACAAGCGAAGGTATTTTGTCTCTCATGATTAGTATTCATGGCAAGATAGTTACAATCGGTCAATGATAGTGTTCGTATCCCATTGTAACTGCAATTTAAAATGCGAATTTCTCTAGAGATTAATACTTCTCGTCCTTTCATTTTACCTTCATCATTCGTCTATATGAAAAATATTAACAGCAATGATTTCCGACGTTGAAGTAGAATTGTTACTTCTAATGCTATGACTGGCGCTTGTCGTTTATAACTCACACATCAGATGAACTCGCCGCCTCGTGTCTACGGACTGGCTCTACTTATGTTCTCTCTTTTTCTTCTTCTTCTTCTTCTTCTTCTCTTCTTTCTTCGTACTACTACACATTCATATTAGCTAGAAACGGACGGCTCATTCAAGTAAATCTCGGTCAAAGAAGACAATCATCTTTTCACAAAAAAATGATAATGCGGCAAAAAAGAAGAGACAGAACGTACATCTAAATCAAACGAGTAAAGAGAAACAAAACGGAGTGACAGACATTTTGATGATGATCAATTTCGAATTAACGAGTACTATCAACGCTTCATTGCTATCTTTTCAATCTCAAAAGAAATAGAACGAGAGAAAGAAGGAAAAAACTCAATATCCATCTATTCTTCTTTCATATTGAACAGTTACAAATGATGATTGAAAGGGAAAAAAAGAAACGATCACAATGACAATGTGTATATGTTCATACAATTGCTTGAACATGCCATCAACTACGAATGGCATATGTATATATACATATATATAACAGACACAGTAGAGGTCGAAGCAACAAAGAATAATAATAGAAGCAACGAAGAACAAAGAATATATCGAGGAACTGAACACAACGACAATAATCAAAGAAGTCAAAGCATTATGAAGCTGACTAGAAGAAAATAAATGGACGGTGTATGCACACATGAGGCAAACAGTCAGTCAATGTCCGACCGTCCCCTCGAGTGTCTTTTATCTTGGTAGCTAACTACTATTAGTGCCAGAGAAACAAAGACAAATGCGTATAGATCTAATCGAAGAAATTCAAAGGAGAAGAAAGAGCAGACTTTTTTTTCTAAGGAATCAACTAATTAGAAGACTAGCTTGATCAGTAAACTTTCAGTTTAGATAAAATATCAACATTCAGAAATATTCTCGTCTAGTTCTTCTCTCATTCTGTTCTATATGAATTATTAATTGAAAAAAATCTTTACGCCGTCGTAACTTAGAACTAATGACTTTTCCCTGGTGATCTACAGCGAAAAAGAGATTTCTCTAGTGCCTATTTCATTTCTTTCAAGACCTATTTTCTTTTCATTTATCTCGTCTCATCTTCTAGAAACTTGATACGATTTTCTACTCTGATGAAGGTCAAAAAGCAACTCGTTGAATCTACCTTCGAACATTGTTGTTTACGATCTTCATCGACTTCTAAACATTCATCTTCTTTAACAACTTGCAGTGGAACGAAATTGCCGTTTGTTAATGAATTTGCGCATTTATTATTGTTGTTGCTCAGTGTTTCTTTGATCTGCTGTCTTGATCGATCTGGTATTGATACATCAATGTCATATGTTGACTTGGACTTGATATTATTTGTTCCGTTTTTTGTTTGTGTTACTAATCCACATGATGACGACGCATCAGCAGAACGTGTCATAATGGATGTTGCATCATTTCGAAAAGAATTCGATGGAGTTGTTGCTTGTGACGAAGAAGTTGCAGTTGAAAATGATGACATTGACGAAGTTGACATAGTATTGGTATTTCGTGTGTTATTCGATGATGAGGACGATGAAGATGATGCTGATGATGGTGGTTGTACACGTCGTTGTTGTTGTTGCTGTTGTTTAAGGATAGGCATGTAATGATTGGTACCGTTAACTAATGTTGGAGGCGATATCGATAATGGAATCGATTTGGTTTTAGGAGGGGTTTCAGCGTAAATGTTATTTCGTTCCATATCAGAATAGTCTGCAGTGACGCATTTTGCGGTTGAAATTAGTGTTTGTTTAGGCGAAATGATACATTTCATATTCTGACAAGACTTTGTCTGTTGACTGTGATCGATTCCATTTGGTTTGGTTTTCCGATTGTTAACATTGGTTGAATTGATAGGTGAATCCGCGACTAGAGAAGAAAAAGCAGACGTATACACTCGAATGGATGATGTAAGAATGTTTGCGTGAGAAAATTGAGCATTTTATACAAATGAGTAACTATCATGAAAAGGAAGCGAACCGGCTACTAAGATAATAACCTATACACTGCTGGCAAAGAAAATAGCATTCATTGCCATTTCCTTTCTTTGTTCTGATCGAGGCGACACATGCTCGTCGTTCAAAAGCGATAAGATCGAACCGAACAGTAGCCAAGTTTCCCTGAAGATTCAATCATAAGATAAAGTCTAATGCAGTTAGACACATTCGATTATTTTCTTTTCATAGAAAGATCTTTTCCAATAATTCATCTATTCAAACATTCAAGTACATAAATGTACAATGTTGATTTTGAAAGGAGCAGATGTTCAAACACAAACATAAACACTTGTGAAGATTCTTCAAGACTAAATCACAAGTAAAAGCTTCGAGAAAGGTGAAAGTATCTACACATCATTGACAGTCGACCTTATTGGGATCAAAATTGAAATTGAATAAGCAAACAATGCATAGATGTCTTTGTAAAATTGAACATTCTGATGCAATCTCAAATAAAAGGAATAACATAGCTCTTCACATCTGTCTATTATATATTTATTCTCAAATATATATATAACCTTCTCACATTGTATGCTTTTATTCTTTGAAGTTCGTTGTCATCCTGAAAGAATAAAGGTCGATACTTGAAACCTTTTTTCTTCTCTCTTCATTTTCATCCTAAACTGCTGTTATGTATTGTACGTCTGTACGGACAACATGTTAACGAGTTACAAGTCTTGCTCAAGGTGAGGAAATGGAGACTATAAAAAGTAATTTCCTTAAAATCGGTTTACGACAATCTTCTCTCAAGATTTATTCATTGAACTTATCATTATTACTCACGTCGACTTTTCTCCCACTGAGAGATCTATAAACACACTAGAGAGCGCACGAGTAGGAAAGAAAACTACAAAAGATGCAGATTTACGATACTACCTACTGTTATGTAGGAGGCGATTGATATGGGTCGTAGTAACGAAACGTAATGAAGAGAAAAATGAAAGAGACGACGGACTGACTCGAGAATAAAATGACGAGATGAAGTAAAGCTCTATTTACTAAGTACTGATATAAGTTTGATGTACATGAACTACTGAAATCTGATATCCACGTACGATGGTTTCGATCGTAAAATTGCATCATCAACTGAAATCAAAGAGCAGGAAAAAACGGAATTCCACTTACTTTCATAAGTTTGTTTGACAATCCAGTGCCAAACATGATCGTAGATCTTTCTCACTGACTCGATACTATGATTATTTGTTGTCATAGTTTTTCTTTTTCAAATAACAATAATTAATAAGTAGAATAGATATCTTTTCATGCTTATTATATTCTAATGATTTCAAAATGTCTATCACGCATTTCTCATTTCGTTTATAAATGCATCGAATGTTCAAATTTCCATTCACATTTTTCTCTCTTTCGCTTCGTTCTCTCCTGTCATCGAACGAAAAAATTGTATATTTTTTAAAGAGGAGAAAAGAGAGGGAGAGGGACAGCAAGCAACGAAGACGACGACGACACGAATCGTACGAAGATGGCAGAGAAAGTGTTGAAAGAACAGGGCAGGGCACGCAGGGTGACGAATCTCATTCCCTCATCTAATCAATCAATGTATGCGGGAATGCCGGACGCTAAAGAAAGAAAAATGATTGTGTGGACATTCGTGTCGCATGATTGTTGAGGATTTATTGAACAAGATTAAAGACATGAACGAATGTGCGGCCACAATCATCTGACCTTGGATGCGTGTGGACAATCGATGACAACTGCCGCAAGGTCATTTAGTTTGTCACACAAAGTGCCAATATTTTTCTTCAGGTTTTTTCACTCTTCAATGAATGTATCCATTAAAGATCGATATCTCTTCAAAATAATGAACGCTATCAATCACATTGATAGTTTTTCTTCTTTTAACTCAATCAATGTCTCGAGATATTTGTCTAAACACGTCAAAGACACATTTTCAGTTAATTACTCAATAGATTAATCCATGACACTCAACTTATGTATTCAAATAGACGATGTGAAAATCCATCGTGAAGATAAAAGTCGTGACATAANCATTTAAATCGAAAAGAATGTGTAATATTCGCATGGAGTGGAATACGCGGTCGACAAGCTTTGATTCTCGCTCTTTTGGTGTACTTGGATAAGAAAACTGAACGTGCGACGAGTGAACGATTTCTTTTCAATGTTTCAATGTTGGTTTTATTAACACTGACAGTGAATGGAACTAGTAGTAAATTTCTTGTGAAAATGCTTGGACTGGATAAAGGTAAATTTCGCTTGAGCTCGTTTGATGATGTTGTTTTGTTTGAATAGGAACACCTGAAAGTCAAACAGTACGTTCTCAGGCATTGAAACATATGAAAAGTCAAACATCTGCCCAGATCAAGAAAATGAAAGATGATATTAACTTTGCCAATGTGAACTGGAAAGTACTTTATGATTATTTACCTGAAATTTTAATTGAAGAAGCTGATGATGAACATAACAGGAATGTTCATCCACAAATCACAGTCAATTCTCGACAGATCTCATTTGATCCTATCCCAAAATCGCTTTCTGCTTCGTCGAATCAATTAAACAATGACCAATACTCCGATCTAATTTCCACAAACAGTATTTTTCAATTAGATCTAGAGATTGCATCCAAAGATCGATATTTACTGGAGCCATTCGTTCAACCGCGAAGTACAACAGATTTGAATACGGATGATTATCAAATCAATATGCGAAATGAAATCATCAAACGCTTTCTTACAGCTATGGCTGTGGATTACGAAAAACAATGGTACTTGGGAATGATTCGACGACGAACTCTCAAAGTGTTAATCGAAACTGTCGAACAAGCGAAGACAAAGATCTCATTGAAACGGCATTGGCAATTACTTGTCGGTCATTTTCATATGCCCTTGTGGTTAAAATTTTTAATCAAATTCGATAAGATTGTCTGGCTGAATCGACAAACGGAAAAGTCTCTATTCGAACATTTGATACTCACTATTGAATTAGCTTTAGGTGAGTTAATCATTTTCATATCCAGGAACGAAATTGCCCTAAGAAAACGTTTTTAGCCTTTCACTCAGCAACATCACGATTAGAACATATGCTGTTGAAAATCCCTGAATTTACCAATATCGATAATCATATCATAAGCAACGTTCTGAATGATGCGAAGAAACTACAAGTTCGTGCATCACTCGTTCTCCAAGATTTGCAATATTCATACAAGAAATGTTGGACAGTTGAAATGACGAAACGATGTGCTCAAATGCTTTTAAAATACGAGTCTGTTGCCATCATTCAATTATACGAAACGGGAATGTTAAATGAAATGGAATACACACATATTCTTCAATTAATTCAAAAGAAGTTGTTCCATTTAGAATACGGTCACATCATGAGTATACCGGAGACTGATTTCCATTTAGAACAAGACAATCAATTCAATAATTTGCAATTATTTTTCGATTTATCTGAAGATGAAAAGTATCAGTTGAAGCAGCTGTTAAAATCGCGAAGGAAACTGTTTCAACCAGGCGAGCTTCTCCTTCGACAAGGTCATATTACATCGGAAGCGTACTTAATCGTGCGAGGTATCGTCGAATGTTCCGAAGATCTATTAACATGTTATCGATCAGGTCACATCATTGGCGTTGATTCCTTGTTTGATAAGAGTTCTTCGACATCGAATCGAACGTATCGAGCTGGAAGTAGCATCGTTGAAACATTCGCTATCGATCAATCGTTGCTGGATATATTTTTATCAAATCCGAACACACTTCAGTTAATCTACAATGAAATCGCTCTTCATATGTTGATTAGCATGTATCAATATCCGATACATTTGTTAAATTATGCACAAATCAAAGTTCTTTTGGACGAATATGCTCTTTTCTATCGAACTGAAACTGAACAAGATGTGCTGAGTATTCAACTAAAACGCAACGAACGATTGTTTATTTTAACTGGTACAATTCAAAGAGAAGATGATGATTATTTTATAGATGGCCCACAATTAGTCACTGTTAATCAAGCGACAACATTTCATTGCAATTCGAATAAATCGTGTGTCGTATATACGTGGACATTGGATAATGAACAAGAATGTTTACAAATTGTACGATCGTTTACGACGACTTATCGTTTATCGGATTCACCCGATGAGAAAGCTGATGCAAATGTTGTTTATCCATCGTTTTCAGATAATCCAACAGGATTCATACAGCAGAATCATTCGTTAGTACAGTTTGCACGATCGGCGACTCATACAAGTAATTTTGAATTGATTCCCTTGGAATCAATGGATCGATACTATGAAAGAACATAGAGTTTTATTTTTTTACATATTAAACAAACTGAGCCTTTTGTTTTGTCAATATCAGTCGGAATACCATGGCCGTCATATATTAGTACCATTACTGGCTTTTCATTATTTGAATATAAATAATCCGAATACTGCATAATTGAGTAGTAGTCATCAGCCATTCCCATTGTAGTAAATTGACTTCACGTGAATTTCTCAAACGCTTAATAGAATTCTAAACAGCTGAACGGCTCATTTTTTTCTCCGATGACTACTTCGAATATAATGATTTCGATCAGGTCTCAAGTCACACCACACTAATAGAAAAAAGACTGCAAACGATAATTAACTACTTTTATTCTCATTACAATTTGGTGGAACGAAATTTTTTCTTGAATTCTAACATTTTACTCATTGTATTCTATGCTTTGTGACAACACAAGATGAGATTTGCATCTTTCGAACCTATCTTCTCAACGTCTACGCGTCAAGTTCAGTGCATTTTCCTGACATATCACCATCAGATATTTTCGTACTTTTCAACAGCTCTTGGTGAACTTTACGGTCTTACAACGGCAAATTTCAAAGCTCAGAAGAGATTATCATTGTGGAAACTCTAAGGTTATAATTCTCTATCTTCTGAATTTGACTCACAATGATCGACGAGAGGAAAATGTTGATAGAAAGTAAATGAAGAAGATTTCAAATAGCTTCGAATGATGAACTAATTTTAATGTATACACATTCAGCTACACCACATGATGGGTCACGTGCCGAAAGGTAGTCGAACTATCTCGCGCAATTCTAGCAAGATTAGTTCTAATTAATAGTCAAGTCACATCGATCAACCTCTTCGATGAAAAGTGAAAAGAATAGTATTGTGAGATGGAATCAGTGAGCCTCGAGAATAAAAGAGCGTTTTTGATGAGCGATCTGTGGAAGTTGTTCTGCAGCTTTTTTCGGTAGGTTACAATTGCGGAGAGAGAGATTTTCGCTAAAGCTGACCTATATTTGATCATATCGATTAAGGGATCGATGCTTTGATCAGTGATTGATTTGTTTTCTTGAATATTCAAAACTTCCAGATGTTCATTGTAATGAGTGAGAGAATCCGAGTTGAACTAAACTTCGATTAGTTCGAAGCATTTCCGAAAGATACTGAATACCTAAATCAATGATCTCATTATATCCGAGTTGGAGTTGCGTTATGGGAAAGATATAAGATTCTAAAAGTTGTGTTATTCTTCAAGGCATATGATAAAAATTTAGGTACCAATCAGTGCGATACGATTGGAACGTAAGATGAGACTAGAATATGTCTTCCGATGGATACTTGTTGAGCAATGATTTGCATATTCTCATCGTTCCAGTCTTGATCAGAAAAATCAAGCCAAGAATGAGGTTCAGATTTCAAATGAATATTATCCTATTGACTTTTGATTGAAATATCTTCTTCGTTTTCTCCTTTCAAGTATCTTTTGATCAGAGTCACAAATGGTGTACATTCAAGTGGTTCATTCCCATTTATATTATTGGAGAATATACTTTCCATAGACACTTTTCCCAAAGTAATTCGATGTTCTTCGGTTACAGATAAGGAAGAAATCACTGGAATCACTACAGATCATCAATCTATCTAAATCAATTCTCATTGATTCAATCGAATAACAATCCGAGGAGCATTGAAGACGAAATCTGAATGAAATGGAAGAGAATTTTCTTGATAATTTTGTAAAAGTGATGAAAGAAAAGATGGCTGATCAGAAGACACTTGTTCGGCTCATTGTCTTGGAAACATATTCTTCAAAGATATGAGAAGTGTAAACTATTTGGAAAGATATGTAGAATTCAGATTTTCAATCTGTGGAACTTTTGTCAAACTTTCTTTAAAGAATTAAATAAGGAAATATCCATTTGAATGGTTCTCGCTCTCCATTATTGTTTTATAAAATGATTTGGGATGAACATCAATTAAACAGATGTTATTCAAATTCAAATAACTTAACATTTGAACATTATTTTGAGATATATATCTATTGAAATCCTTCACACAATCGTACAGTATATGACAGGAACTGTTGCTAATCAAGATATTTATCGCTTCCACACCAGAATCAATCTTACAGGGTGATGGAGATGATGAGATGTTGAAAAAGATGAAGAAAATAACGGATTTGTTGAAGATGTTAACTCGTTAAAGTAGATTTAAAATATTATCTATCTGAAATCGAAAATGTTTTGTTTCTTTAGACATGTCTATCTAACTTTGGGAGAGAGAGCAGTAGGTAAAAGATAAGAAAAGAAAGATAAAACTGCCGCAAAGATCATGAGAAAGGCTTATTTCATGCAGAAATAAAAGATGAGGATT